CCCCTGATCTCTTGTAATTTGTAACTCTATAAAAGAGAATGAAGGAAAGGGTGAGAGAGACAATTGCATGACTTGTTTTTGAAAAATCCAATATAGTTTTTAGTAATCACAACATACTAAGGGTTGACAGATCAACAGCAAGGAAGCAGGAAAAACAGGGAGGGTTGAGGAGGTAAACTGCACACGTGGAGCTTCAGAGGCAGGGATGCTATCATGGGATTCTCTGCAGGAGAAGGAGGCACTGCTAGAACCCAATTAACAAGTCAGCAATGATCCAGAATCATCTGGCAAAGCATCTGGCTGACTAAGAGCAGGAGAGGGAAAAGCATGAATGGGAAGTTTTAGAGAAGGTGTAATACAGAAGAGAGGACAGTTTGTCTGGAGACTATACTGATTGAGCTGTTTCATTGCACTTATCTGCTAATCTTGTTAACATACCCAGAGGGAGAGGATTATCTACTGAAGTGTGCAAACATATCCAGAGAAGAGCAACCAAGATGGTGAATGGTCTGGAAATCAAGCCCTGTAAGGAACAACTTAAGGAGCTAGGTATGCTTAGCTTGGAGAAGAGAATATTGGGAGGTTATATGATAGCCACCTTTAAGTACCTGATGGCATGCCATGTAAATATGGATTCAAATTGCAAGAAAAAAAATAAACCTAAACATGAGCAACAAATCATATATATATATATATATATATATATATATATATATATATATGAGCAATACTGTCCCCTTATTGTTGTTGTGTGTCTCCAAGTCATTTTTGACCCTAAGGCGACCCTAAGGGTTTTCTTGGCAAGTTTCTTAAGAGGGGTTTTTCCATTGCCATCCTCTGAGGCTGTGAGAGTGTGACTTGCCCAAGGTCACCCAGTGGGTTTTTATCCTTAAGCAGGGGATCGAACCCTGACCTCCAGAGTTGTAGTCCAGTGCTCATACTACAGCAGGGGTCCCCAAACTACGGCCTGCGGGTCAGACCCAGCCCATCGAAGCATTTTTACCGGCCCACGAGGCCTCCTGCCGCCGTGCCGCCGCCGGACGCCATTTTGTGTGGCAGAATGGCGTCCGGAGTCATGCGCATGTGCACGACTCTGGACGCCATTTTGACACACAAAATGGCGCCCGCCCACACACGACCAGCCCCCGGAAGATCTGGGGCCAGCGAACCGCCCCCCGGATGAAAAAGTCGGGGGACCCCTGTACTACAGCATCCTGGCTTATGGTTGTCATTAAGTTGGAAATAGCTTGAAGGCACACAACAACAACAAAACCCAATCACTATGGTTACACCATTTCCAAACAAATCTTGCAAATTAAGATATTTGGCTTTTTAATTCAAAACCTCTTAAATTATGAGCTTCTAAGGAAGAGCACAATATAACTCTGCAAATCAAACTGAAGTGCCTTTCTTGACTCTGAAGTTAGGAAGTCGCCTCTTCTGCCTGCCACCCATTCAAGCAATTGTCAAGATAAGTCACCCAGCTTCTTATCTGCTAGCAATTTGTCTTCTCCTTCTGCCACTGGTTCAGATTTTATTCTGCTTCACAATTTTCAGATCTTACAATGCTTCTAACTGTAACTCAAATGTACCATTTGTCTCATGTGGCAGCTTCACCCATAAGTTACTCTTCTGGGGTCCACCTGCCAAGCTGCTTCCTCCAACAGAAAATAGCTTTTAAAAATGTCCTCTTTGAGTACTAACTGTCTCACTCACTCAGAAACCTCAAAGAAGCTTATGAAATGGTAAGAAAAATGTCTTAGCAATCAGCACTTACTGTAAGGTAGTAGACTGAAGAAGCATGCAAGTCACTTGTTCATAATCTTTTTTTCCATTATAATGAGATGCATTCTATTTATAACAACAGTGGGCCCTTCCCATATGCGGGGATCTGCTCTAGGGGACCCCCCCCCCACGTAAAGGAAAAAAAGCGTATCCTCAAGCCCAATTTAAAACAATGGCTGAGTGCTCCTGTGCATGGCATGCCGTGTGCGCTGCATGTGCATATGCCATTATTGCTTTTGAGGCTTGCCTTCTGCGTAAGGTTAAAGCCGCATATGGTGCACCCGAGTATGGCACAGGTGCATTGTATATTGTAACAGTTCTTCCTAAATCTGGCACTATACATATCAATTAGCACGTTTAATGAAATCTAGTATATTCTTTTGAATAACATGTTCCACTTTTGGGGCAATTTCAGGGATGGAGAAATGTGGTCTGCCAGGTGTTGCTGGACTACAGGTCCTGTTATTCCCTACCAGTTATTTCTTCTGGGTCTGATGGAAACTGCAGTGCAACAATGTCTAGTGGGTCACATTTTCTTCACTACAGCATTTATACTGTTTTCCAGTTCAGTGGGTAATTTGCAGTCCTTTACCAGATGCTCTGAAGGGTTGGCCTTCCTGGCTGTGTTATGATAGCCTGAAGACATCCAGTTTTGATATAAAATGTGGGGAATTTTGCCCCTCCATGACCCTAAATGTACCCTCAGTACACCCACCATGGGCTTTAAAGCGATAGACCACTTAGGCATAGGGTTGCCATATACCGGTTTTTGCTGGGACATTCCCGATTTTTCAGCCTTTGGGGATGTCCCCGCCTGGTTTTAGATGGATATCCACTGACTCCCGAGCAATTGTTGCCTCTTCCCCTGCTTCTGCCACTCTCTCTTGGCTGTGGGATGGAAAAGCGAATGGAGGAGCTGGAACCCCGCAGCCTCTCCCACAATGGGCAGCAGCCCAGAGGAGAAAGAGCTTCTCCATTCCATTCCACAGCCAAGAGAGAGTGGTGGAAGGATGCAGGTTTTACCAGAGAGGCACCGTGGCAGCATAGAGATCCAACAGGGCCCAGTAGGCCTTGCTGGGCCTAGGAGGGGTGGGCCCGGGCCGCTGCCATTTCCCTTTGGGTGCGGTCTAGCACTGCAGTGGATGGCAAGGAGGCCCAGGGCCTGCTAGACCTCACTTGCTGGGAGGCCTAGCTTGGGGCTGGGTAGAGGACTGGGGCCTCCTCAGCCATTGCTGCCACCCACCTCCCTCCCTCCCACGCTTTTGGCACGGCGGCGGTGGGCATCAGCAAGGCTTAGGGCCAGATAAGGCCTGTCATGGGGTTTTCTTGGCAAGGTTTCTTCAGAGGGGGTTTACCCTTGCTGAGAGAGTGTGACTCACCAAGTGGATTTTTGATGCTTGAGCTGGAATTAAACCTGAATACTACTACGCCATGCTGACTCTCACACTGTAGCAATATAACAACAACAACAACAACAACAATATCCAGAGACTAGGACCCGGAACAATGGGTGCAAGCTCCAGGAAAAGAGCTTCCACCTCAAAATTGGGAGGAACTTCCTGACAGTAAGGGCTGTTTGACAGTGGAACAGACTCCCTTGGAGTGTAGTGGAGTCTCCTTCCTTGGAGATTTTAAGCAGAGGCTGGATGGTCATCTGTCGGGGATGCTTTGACTGGGAGTTCCTGCATGGCAGGGGGTTGGACTGGATGGCCCTTGTGGTCTCTTCCAACTCTTATAATTCTATGATTCTATGATTCTATTATCATGGGGGGTTAAGGCCACTGCTACCACACATTCTTGTTTGACAGCACTGTAATTGCCTATGCAATTACATGGCTGCATGGTATGGAATTCTGAATAAGCTTCTTGGGATCAGGGACCTCTCTCTATAACTTTTTAAAGCACCATGCACTTTTATGGCCATGGTTAATAATCAGCGCCAGCATTGTAGAATAGTGTGCTAGCTTTTTAAGATTTATTGTATATCTGTTGTTAAGTCCATGCAGCATGGTGAATATTATCTTTACAACTTAGGGCCTAAGCAGACTGCCAGAAATAGTGCACATTAAATCGAGGCACTGCCCTGGCTCAGTGCTAGGGAATCATGGGAACTGTAATTTATTGTGGCATCAGAGCTCTCTGACAGAGAAGACTCAATGTCTCAGAAAAAAATACAATTCCCATGACTCCCTAGCACTAAGCCAGGGCAGTGCCTCAATTTAATGTGCACTATTTCTGGCAGTCTGCTTAGGCCCTTAATCTTTTTGTAAAAAATAAATAAATCAGATGTCTTGCTTCATCACCATCATAGAAGCGCTGCCAAAGGAAACAGCAGACAAGTCAAGTCTGTAGCTATAAACAGCTTGGTGGAAGATAAAACGTTTTTAAAAACTGCTTAAAAGTGACAACTGAGTAGGCCTTTTGCATCCTGTTAGGGATGTCATTCCCAAATACTGTTGCCACTACCAAAAAAGCTTGGCATCATCTAAATGACAACTGCTAATTCTGATGGCACTGGCATTCCTCCCTAGCCATATCCAATAACTGAAGTAATGACCAGGCTGGAGTAAGGGATCTGAGAGGACTGATGTGCTCTTCCTGATATCAAGCATGTACTTTAAGGGGAGGGCATAAGTCCATATACACCCACCAGTCAAACTGGTCTGCTACTAGACTTAGGGCCTCTGCAGACAGGTGGTTCTGGGCCACTCCAGGAAGCGGCAGATTGGGGCCGCAGCAACCCCACGCCATGGCCCAAATCCTCCCTTTTGCTGCCCCAAAAAGAGCAGCAAAATGCTGCTCCTTTTAGGGGCGGCAAAAGGCTGCCCTAAGAGCCGGCGCACGCCTCTTCCTTGCCCTTTTCCGCCCAAAGGGCCAGTCTGCAGAGGCCCTTAGTTGCAATAAAATACAGCTTAATAGCGATATCAATGCAGCTGTAGAACACAGCCCACTTAAACAGATAATAGATAATTGTTATAAATAGATAATAGGCCGGGCAACCTACTCAAAGGTGGATATAGGTCTATTCAGAAGTAAGCTCCACAGAGCTCAAAGCATAACCTCAACTGTTGTTGTTATCTTTAGGTTGTTTGGCAACCCTAGAGTGAACCTATCACAGGATTTTCTTGGCAAGATTTGTTCAGAGGTGGGTTGCCTATGTCTTCCTCTGAGACTGAAAGAGTGTTACTTGCCCAAAGTCACCCAGTGAGTTTCCATGGCCTAGCAGGGAGTCAAACTCTGGTCTCCAGAATCGTAGTCCAGTGCTCAAACCACTGCACTACACTGGCTTTCTACCCCCTTCCCCAACTGTCCTATCTATAAAATGTTGGAGGATGTGTTATAGGGCTCTACTCCCAGGTGTGAATAGCATTCCAACATCCCAGTATTCCAACATTTCACAGATGAAAACCAGGACATATGTGGCCAAGCGACATCAGAGTGCGGTCAAGATGGCAAAGGTTTTTTAATGAAGAAGTTCACACAAATTAAGAGAGGATGAACCTGTTAGCTTTTGCTAGATTCTTCAAGGAAAAGCAAGATTCTACCCATCTTTTCCTCAATCCTCTGCTGAGTTAATTGAATGCAACTTGTGATGTAATGCAGCAGCTAAAAACCCCAATGTTATTCTAGGCTGCATCAATAGGAGTATAGTGTCTAGACCAAGGAATGTGTCTAGAGCAGGGTAACCAAAATGGTAAAAGGTCTGGAAACCATGCCCTATGAGACAACTAAGGGAGGTGGGTAGGTTTAGGCAGGGGGTTGGACTGGATGGCCCTTGTGGTCTCTTCCAACTCTATGATTGTATGGCTGTGTACTTTTTGAACTCACTTTGCAGCAAAAGTTTGCAGCAAAGAGGGTAAGTGGGAGAGGAGAGTGAAATTGGTGTATGTCAAAAGTGGGACAACAGAAGATTGATCAGGACTTCCCTGCTAAATCAGGACAGTTGGAGGGTATATATATTCCATCCCTTTTAATTCAATTGGATTTACTTCAAGCACATGTGTTTAGGATTGGCCTTTCATCAACAATAAATATGTAATCTATTTAAGTTAAGAGATTCTTTAGTTTCTTAATATCTGCTAGAATCTGGAAGAAAATAAATATCAGAGCAACAAACTGGAAAAGGAAGTCTTTGTCTAAAGCAGGCCCTTGTTTGTGGTTTCAGAGAAAATGTGATTATTTCAGATTACCAAAAAGTAGTCTTTTTAAAAAAATGAAAAAGCTCTAATTTGTTTCTGGGCAAAGTAAGATTCTTGAAAAGCCATTTCCTTTCTCTAAGATCTTAAGTACTCACTCCTGGGCAGGAAAAGGAGAAGAGAGCATGAATCACTGCTAAGCTGCAAATATTTCAGGTTGTTTGACAGGAGCCAAATCACTCCTTACAGAGAGAGGGGGGCAGGCTGCAAATTATTCCATCAATTTTATTCTCTGTACTAGGAGCACTGAGAGCTTCACTGAAAAGCAGCCAGTTCTCCAATCCCAAACCTTTTTATGAAAATAAAACCAAGAATCATAGAGCTAGAAGGGGTAACAAGGATGATCTAATCTGATCCCCTATGCAGGAATAAGCAACTAAACCACTGCTGAGAAATAAGGAAGGAAATTTGGGCGTATTAACTTTAATCTACATAGCAATCTACACACATTTACCTGAAAGTATGCCCCACAGAGCCCATTGCATTAAATCATGAATTAAAGATGTAAAATTTCAGATACATTCATAGACTCATAGGACATTATCACATGGGGAGTCGCGGGGAGAAAGTGGAAATAAACAGGACGAGTGGAAGACTTTAATTTACGGGATTTGTCTGGTTCCGCCTCGTCTGATAACTAAATTCGAATTTAAAAGGGGGTTAATTCGAACGAAAACCTGATCTTATAAAGGAGATCATGGGTATGAATTTGCAGGACCTAAGTGGAGCAGTGGAGGATAGGAAAGTCTTGGAGGTGTCTCATCCACAGGGTTGCCATGAGTCAGGATGGACTCAAAGGTGGTTAACAACAATAACAACAACAAATGTCTAAAGGGAGCAGATCCCACCAGATCTTGGAAGCTAAGCAGAACCAGCTCTGCTTAGTACTCAGATGGGAGACCACCAACAAATACCAGGTGCTGTAGGCTATATTTCAGAAAAACGAATTGGCAAAACTACCTTTGAGTATTCCTGGCCTAAGAAAGCAGTATGAAATTGAGTTGAAGGGGCTACACACACTCACACACACGTGCACACACACACAGAATCTTAAAGGAAACAGTGTGGTATAGTGGTTTGAGCACAAGACTACAACTCTGAAGACCAGGGTTTGAATTCCCACTCAACCATGGAAATCCAAGGGGTGACTTTGAGCAAGTCACATATTCTCAGCCACAAAGAAAGGCAAAAACAAACCTCTTCTGAACAAGCCTTGCCAAGATAGGTTCACCTTTGGGTTGCCATGCGTCAGAAATGACTTCAAGGCACATAGCAACAACAACTTGTCTTAAAGTGGTTTATAAGTGGTTCCTTCTCTAAACAAACTCTGGAAACTATATGTTCTGTTTTTTATGACATGACTTTCTAACAGAATTCTGAAACTTTAAAAAATTTTAAAACTAAAATTTCCCAGATTCTTTGTGGGATGCCATGGCAGTTAAACTTATATCAAACAAATGGAAATTTGCAGTAAACTTCTCCCTCCCTTTCTTGATCAAGACTGAAGCCTTCTTCAGTTGCATTCGTATGCATGCTTAACAGAGGAGTCTGCCTGAACTCTGAAAGGATTAAGGCTGAGTAAATATGCTTAGGCTCATGATGCTGCATAGTTAGGAAAAGGAACATTAATGTTGGGAGCAAAGAAAACCTCTTACTTTGCACTTGATTTCTGCCCTGTTGCTTAACAAAAGGGAATTAGCTTCCAGCATTACCTTTTATTACATGATTCATATACAAATAGCAAAGATTTGTATGCTGCCATGATAGAAGAACATGGGCTATTCATTCTGCTGTTAGACACAAGCCCAAGGTTTCCTAAAATTTAGACCATTGTGCCAAATTCTCACAGATAGAAAGAAGTCAAGCAACATATTATGGTTTGCAAGCATCAACAGAGTTGCTTAGCATCACCTCTGCCATTGTGACTGATACAGTCCTTGAGTTAAAAAAGAAAGACCCAGTTTCAGTTTCTTATTGGAAGAATGTATCTCAGTAGTCACATACATAAATGGGAGCTGCAGCATCAGTAGAATACAAATTGGTTATGTTTACAAGACCTTGAAGCTGAAGTGCTTTTTGATGCAGCAACACATGAATTTATTAGATCCAGGAACAAAAGGGAGAAAAATGATTTAAACATATGGGACTTGCAGATGTTGCCTCTTGGAATAAAAGATTCAAGTTACAGAAGTGTTAGCTCTTTGAGACATTTTAATACAACATTGGCTAGAAAATCACATACCTGGAAGAAGTGCTTATATTTTACCACAAAATTATTCAGTGCTCTTTTACCACAGTGCTTCTTTTGAGAAATTACATTTTGATAACAATCAGCACAGACTTAATGCTCCGCAGCTTTAAGTACTTTGGCCTCTTCCCTTTGTTACTTTTTAAAGTTATTTGGCAAAATAATTGCCTTACACTGTATCGGTCCATTAGTCTTCCCTTTCCAGTACTGTCTATTTTTTCCTGGATTTCAGGAAGATATCTTTCACCCTACTACTTGATCCTTTTCATTGTGTATTTGTTGTTGTTGTTGTTAATGATCTCAGCTCATGGCAACCCTGTGGATGAGGCATCTCCAAGACTCCCTATCCTCCACTGCTCTGCTTCGGTCCTGTACATTCACACCCGTGGCCTCCTTAATAGAGTCCATCCATCTAGCATGTGGCCTTCCTCTCTTTCTACTTTCCTTCACCTTTCCTAGCATTATTGTCTTTTCCAACGATTCATGCCTTCCCATGATGTGTCCAAAGTACGGCAGTCTCAGTTTGGTCATCTTGGCTTCTAGGGATATCTCTGGCTTGATCTGTTCTAGGACCCATTCGTTTGTCCTTTTGGCTATCCATGCTATCCTCAGCACTCTTCTCCTGCATCACATCTCAAATGAATTGGTCTTCTTCCTATTTTGTTTTGTAACTGTCCAGCTCTCACATCCATACGTGGTAACTGGGAATACAATGGCTTGTATGATTTGAACTTTTGTGCTCAGTTGTATATCTTTACTCTTTCAGATCTTGTCTAGTTTTCATAGCTGTCCTCCCCATTCCTAGTCTTCTTCAGTTTTCTTGACTGCAGTCCCTGTTCTGATCAATGTTTGATCCCATGTATGAGAACTCTGTTACTATTTTGATTTCCTCATTGTCTAGGCTGAATCTGTGCAGATCCTCCATCATCATTATTTTTCTTTCCTTTATGTTCAGAAGTACTCTTGCCTTTGCACTTTCTTCCTTGATCTTCCTTAGTAACTGTTCCATCTCCATTATGTTTTCAGCTAGTAGTATAATATCGTTGGATATTTTAGATTGTTAATATTCCTTCCTCTTATTCTTTCCTTCTATTTTCACTCCTCTTCCTTCTGTGTCCAAGCCTACTTTTCTTATAATATGTTCTGTATACAAGTTGAACAGACAGGGTGAAAGGAACCATTCTGTTTCTCCATCTTCTGTTCTGACAGTAGCCTCTTGTCCTGAGTACAGATTCCTCATCAGGACTATCAGATGTATTGGCACTCCCATGTCTTTAAGGGCACTGCATAACCTTTCAGGATCTATGCAGTGAAAGGGTTTGCTGTAGTCTATAAAACGCATTGGATATGCTGAAAACTTCCTCCAGGACATTCTGTGTAGAAGTTATTTGCTGCTATATTTTGTGATTCCCTCCCTATTGGACAATGCAAAATGAACCTCTTTTGTTTTATGTTTTCCATTACAGAGGTGTAGGAGAAAGATGGTCTAGGAATGGTGAGACTATAAACACATCCAAGCGGATGCTTTTGAACAGGACAGGTTGTGTGCTGTTGTTTTTTTTGCAGTGAGTTTCATTGTGTTCTAATGTTCTAGATTTGACCGGAAGGTCTTTATCATGCCTCCATTTTTCCTACCACAAGTCTGTCAATAACAAGTGTAGGCCTGAAGACACTGAGGGCTCTTCCCTACAGTTACGACTAAAGTTATCAGTCAAAAGACATTCAGTCTTTCCCTCCCCAGCAGATCTTTTTTTGTGAGCACAGAAGTAGTTAATTTTTTTAAAAAACAGTACTTCTCGATGAATACTCCCACAATCTCCCAGCCATTCTGGTAGTTGTATTC